AAGGACAGCTTATTTTCTTGCTTATTTTCTGTTTTTATTTCCAATACCTAGAACAGTGTTTAGCACATAGTAAGGGATCAAAAATGATTCTGGCAAGGCTTCCTTGGTGGCACAGTGGTTGAGAGTCTGCCTGCCGATGCCGGGGACATGGGTTCGTGCCCCGGTCCGGGAAGATCCCACATGCCACGGAGCGGCTGGGCCCGTGAGCCATGGCCGCTGAGCCTGCGCATCCGGAGCCTGTGCTCCACAATGGGAGAGGCCACAACAGTGAGAGGCCCGTGTACCGCAAAAAAAAAAAAAAAAGATTCTAGCATAACTCAGTTTATAGTCCAGCAGAGGAGTTCAATCATGTATACAAATACAGGAATATAATACGGATTATGACAATTCCCTCAAAGTTAGTAAATGTTATATGGCTTGTGAGAAGAAGCAGTGACTTCTCACTAGACTGAAAAAGAGAATATTTATGGAAGATAGAGCATTTGAACTGGACTTGTGGTACAGGAAGATTTGGGTGGGGATAGGTGGAAGATGTAGAAAAAAATAAAGTAGGAAAAATATAGAGGAAAAAGGAAAAAAGAACAAGCTAATTCAAGAAAAGATAAACGGGCCTGGAGTAAAGTTTGTATGTAGAAGGCTAGCAGGAGTTGAGAATGGAAAGACAGTGAACCATTTCTGGAAGGAATGGAATGAGTCAAGCCAAGGAGTAAGAATTTTATTTAAAACACAATTGAGAATCCTCAAAGCTATCAAATAGTAGAGTACTACAAGATGTGTTTAACTGCTGATTATTTTAAAAAGGCAAGTTCCAGGATTTCTGGTTCCAGCCAAGATGGAATAGCCCCATTATAAGTCCTATTGTAAGACAGTCTTCCCTCTTACAATGAAAAAAACCTGGACATAACACAACACACAAGCACAGGAAGACTCTAAACAGTGGAAGGAAGACACACTTCCTAGGGACCTTGGCAACCCCTAGTAGGGGAGCGGAGCCTACACTCACACCCAGCACCAATGAAGTGGAAAGAGGTGGTACAGGTAGGGTAGTTGTCATTCTACTTCCTCCTCCCCCTCTCCCCAGTTTCAGCAGGCCCAGTGGGGAGGGGAGCCTCCACCCCACCTACCATTAACCAGTGAGGTGCACTCCAGCTCCCTCCCCACCTCCACTGATGTTGGTGGGGGCAGGGTGGAGTTGAGTTTCTGTTGCCCCCCTGCAGCAGCAAATGGTGCAAGTCAGCACTCTGCTTCCTCCCTCCTGGGTGTCAGCAGGAGCTGAGCTTACACTTCCACTTGAAGGCAGCAGCATGGTGTGCTCCACTTTCACCAAGAGGGGGAAATCGAGCTGAGGGGGAGTCATCCTTCTACACCCCTGCATCTGCAGAGAGACCATGTAAACACTCCACTTCTGCTGAGGCGGAGCCTAGCAGGCAACTAAACATATACACCCATCTGGTCCTTGTGCTACACCTCCACAAAGAGAATGCCTGCTAAAAAATAAAATAAAATATTAAAAAGTTTCCAGAATCTCATAATGTAATATCCAGATTGTCCAAGAGAAAATTAAAAATCACTCATTACCCTAAGAACCAGGGAAATCACAACCTGAATGAGAAAAGATCGCCAATAAATGCCAACATCAAGACGAATCAGAGAAGATTTTTAACACAGCTATAATAAAAATGTTTCAATAATTCTTCAGTAAGCAATTATGAATTCTTTTGAAACTAACTGAAAAACTAGAAAATCTTGGTAAAGAAATAGGAATGAAGTAATAACATATGCTACAACATGGACGAACCTAAAAAATATTATGGTAAGTAAATTAAGTCAGTCACACACACACAAAAACATACACATATTGTATGATACCATTTATATGAAATCTCCCAGAGTAGGCAAATCTATTGAAACAGAAAGTAGATCAGTGGTTACCTGGGGCTGAAGATGGCATGGAAAAAGGAGTGACTGTCAGTGGGTACAGGTTCTTTTTGGGGTGATGAAAAAGGTCCTAAAATTAAATTTTGGTGATGACTGTGCAACTCTGTAAACATAATAAAAATTACTGATTTGTACGCTTTATATAAGTGAACTTTGTTATGTAAATTATATCTCAATATAATATAGGTTGAAATTTAAATTACTAATTAAATTTTCTTTAAAAAAGGAATCAAATGTAAGTTATCAAACTAAAAAATACAGTGACTGAAATTAAAAAGTTGCTGGATGGGCTCAACAGAAGAGAGGAAACAACAGAAGACAGAAATCAGTAAACTTGAGGACAGATGAACAGGATTTACTCTGAACAACAGACAGAAAATAGACTGAAAAAATGAAGAGAGCCTCAGGAGCCAGTGGAACAATAACAAAAGATTCATCATCAGAGTCTCAGAAAGATTTGAGAAAGAGGGTGGGACCGGAAGAGTATTTTAAGAAATAATGGCTGAATACTTCCCAAATTTTTCAAGGGTTGAAAGAAAAGAACTGTCAACCATGAATACTATACCCAGTGAGGAATGAAAGGGAAATGAAGACATTTTTGGACAAAAGACAACTAATAGAATTTTTTGCTAGCAGACCTACCCTTACAAATTGGCTAAAGGGAGTTCTTCAAACACAAAGGGAATGATAAAAAAAAAAAAAGGAATCTTGGACCAACAGGAAAAAAGAAAGAAAAACAAAAAAGCACATATATGGGTGCATACAATAAATTTTTCATGAGTTTTTAAATTATGTTTCATGATTGAAACAAAAATTATACACTATCTTATCAAGATAAAGATATTTAAAAGTGGGGAAAGAAAAGGAATATATATGGAAGTAAGTTTTCACACTTCACTCAAAGTGGTAAAATCTTGATACAAGTAGACTGTGATATGTTATATATGCTTATTGTAATACCTAGAATAAACTTTTAAAAATAAACAAAGTGATATACTCAAAAACACTGTAAATATATCAAGAAGAGATCCTAAAAACTGTTCAAGTAACCCACAATAAGGTAAGAAAAGAGAAATAGATAATAGGAAATAGAGGAGGAAAAAAACGGAAAACAAAAAAGAAAATAGGAGCTTTAAGCCCTAAACATATCAATAATTACCTTAAATGTAAATGGTCTAAATATACCAATTAAAAGACAGGTATTTACAAAGTGGACACAAAAATGTAATCCAACAGTGTGCTGTCTATAAGAAACTCCCTTCAAATACAATGACAGTGATGTTATAAGAGTATGCAGACATTAATTTTTTAAATGCAAGAGTAGTAAATTAATATCAGAGAAAGTAGACTTCAGAGCAAAAAAAAATTACTAGAAATAAAAAGGGACATTACATAATGGTTAAATACTTAGGGATAAATCCAACAAAACATGTACAGGATCTGTATCCTGCAAATTGCAAAATGCTGATGAAATAAATCAAAGAAGACCTAAGTAATAGAGACAAAACATGTTCATGGACTGGAAGACAATATAGTAAAGATGCCAGTTCTTCCCAAACTGATCTATAGGCTTAGTGCAATTCCTATTAAAACAGCAAGGTGTTTTGTTGGCATAGACCATCTTATTCCAAAATTTATATAGAAAGGGTACAGGACCTAGAATAGCTAAAATAATTTTGAAAAAGAAGAATAAAGTACGAGGAACCACTCTACTAGGTGTTAAATATTGTTAATTAGCTACAATGGTCAGCATAGTATTGGTGAAGGAACAGACACAAAAATCAGAGGAATAGCTAGAGAACTCAGAAAGAGACCCACACATATACGACTAAAATGATTTTTTCCAAAGGTGCTAAAGCAATTCACTGGAGGAAGAATAGACTTTTCAATAAATACTGCTGGAGCCACTATACACTTGGGCATTTATCTCAGAGAAATGAAAACTTACGTTTACATAAAAACCTGCAAAAAATGTTCACAGCAGCTTTATGTGTAGTAGCCAAAAACTGGAAATAACTCAAATATCCTTCATACCCTTCAGTGGGTAACTGGTTAAACAAACTGTGGTATATCTGTACCATGAATTCTACTCATCAATAAAAAGGAATGAACTATTGATACATGCAACTACTTGGATGAATCTCGAGAAAGTTATGCTGTGTGAGAAAAAGTCAATCCTCAAACGTTACATACTACATGATTCCACTCATATAGCATTCTTGAAATGACAAATTATAGAGATGGAGAAGAGATTAGGAATTATGGACTTGGGGAGGAAGGAGGTGGCTATGACTATAAAAGAATAACTCAAGGAATCCTGTATCCTGAGTGTGGTGGTGGCCACACAAATCTACACAGGTGATAAAATTCCATAAAACTGATGCACATGTGCGCATGTGCACGTGCGCGCGCACACACACACACACACACACACACACACACAGCAGTGCATGTACAATGTTGAAATCTAATAAGGTGGATGGATTGTATCCATATCAGTATGTGACACTGTATAACAGTTATGCAAGATATTACCCTTTGGAAAAATTAGGTGAAGGGTATATGGGAATCTCTATTATTTCTTATAAACTGCATGTAAATACATAATTATCTCAAATAAAAAGTTAAAGGAATGACCCAATATACATCAAGAGCTACAATCATGACCATAACTTTCTGAACTGAAACTTGGCAACTCCAGTTCAGAAATCATCATTTATCTACTCAATACCCATATTAGGCACTGTGCTAGGTGACAGAGATACAGGGTGAAGAAGATAGCCATGGATCCTGTCTTCATGAACTTCCAGATAAAGAAACATGAAAATGGCTCAGTGTATGAAAAGGATCATCACATCTTCAATCACACATGTGATAAATGGACTCAAATTTCTAATGATAAGAGTAGAGTTAAGTAATTTTTGGAATACTATATGCTCATTAAAATTATTATAAATACTATTTAACAGAATGGAAAATGTTTACAACATTAAGAGAACACTAAGTACAAAATCATATATTCATTAGTATATGACAATTAATGACAACTTGTTTTTATATGAATAAAACTTTTATTGAATTTTAGATAATTAGAAAGAATAAAGAAATGCAAGATAAATGCTTTCTAAACAACATCTGATAGTATCATCTTATCTGTCATGGCATTTTCACTCTTCTTTATAAAAAGTATAGACATTCATTTATTTAAATTTTTACAAAGTCAAGAACCGTCAAACGGAAAAAATAAGTAATGCTAAAGTAAATTCAGTTCTTCATCAATATTGGAATGATTACAATGGTTAGGTTCTGAGCTTAGCCCTCTTGGAAAAATAGTGTATGCAGCAGCTGTTGGTTTCCATTATTCACATAAGTCTGAAAACCAGAAGGCCACTTCCTGTGACGACTGTGCTTGCAGGAAAAGAGGGCAAAAGCATAGTGGGAAGAGGGAATGAGAGACTACATCGGGGAAAGAAAAGATGCTCTTATCCAATCCCGGGGTCAGCATCATAAATAATTTAGGAAACAAATCTGGGAAGAAATCATTTGTGTTGCTTAAAGTGTGATTAAGGCGAGAGAGTCACCGATACAAGCACAGCCAGATCTACAGAGCACAAATAGAGTGGAGAGTCTGCAAATTACCTGGTGAACTCCCAAGGCCAGGTAATTAATCACAAAGAATCTCTTTACAGTGGTGTAAAACGCATCTGGGCAAAGTTGCAACCCTGAGCTGCGACAAGAACAGGGCAGAGCCTCCCAGGAGCATATCTGAAGACATCCCTTTTGTCTCAGTCTTATCTCTTTTGCAAAAATAATCATTTTGAGAAAAACAAAAACAAAGCAACTCCTGCCCTCCCTGTAACAACCCAGCAACCTCAACTTGTCAAACAAGGAGAAAGTTATCTACCCCAGTACAGAGGCATGGGGTGCTGCCCTCATTAAGAGTAACCTGGTGTGACAGCAAGGGAGACCTGGACGGCCCTGCTCTGAGAGGCTGCCAGGAATTCCCTTCCACCCTCCTCCCTGCTCCTGTGCTGCCTGCACGACCTAGGTCTTGCTGCCTGCCTGCCGGGCTCCACGAACAAGCTCACTGGACGTGGCGTTGACAGTAGTCTTTTCCTTCCTAACCCAATGCCTCTCTCGTATTTTTTTTTTTAAAAACAACAGTTTTCTTTTAAAAAATATTTTCCCAGGAAATAATGAACAGTAACTGTCATGGACCTATAACAGACCCTAGAAAAACATAGACAGGCAATAATCTGTCAATATAGCAATATTCCAAATATGAAATTCATGGTCCAGGAAGAGATAAATAAATAAATATGAAGGGGCTCCTCAAAGAAGTTTATAGTTTTCACCCATTCCTTACTGAATTCTGTTGGTGTAAAAAGTTTTGATTCTACGATACAAAAGCCAGCCCTGCTAGGACCAGTGTTCGCCATTTATGCCATTCGGCCCCCTACATCAAGAGGGGACGGGGAAAGGCAGGATGTAACACAGGGTTGCTCAGTATGTTTCTAAAGACACCTATCTTTTTAAATAATTTCATTATTTAAACTCCATCTGGCACTTTAGTCTCTTGAAAAATTATTACGTTAGACATGAATTAAAAAATAAGCCCATCTGGACTGCAGTTTGGGTTTTTAATGCTATTCTGCTCTTCTACCTTTTTCCTTGGCTTGGCACATCTGTGAGATCCAGCGTTTTGAACAGAATCCTGGGACAGCTGGGGTGGGGGAACGAACAAGTCTTCATGCCGGAGCACTCCAGTTCATTTTACCAATCTTAGTGGCCGGGTCACAGCCCTGCCTCCTTCTTTGTGCTTTTTACTAGGATCATTGTCAGGAAAGTGTCTTTCCCAACACGCCACCACCCCGCCCCCCGCTGGAATGGGGGCTCCCTTGGCTTCTTCTCTGCACGCTCCATCTGCTTGCGTCCTAGACCAGGGAGCCAGCCCGACTCTGGGCTGGAACCATGACAGGGACAGCACCAATGCGCTCCAGGCTTGCTTGGCTGATGGTGTAGGAGTGTGTGTACTGAGCCCGGGGCTTCCTGCTGACTGAGCCATTGCTCCTGGACACGGCCTGCGGCGACGACCCTCTGTTGGCTGTCACTGCCAGGGTCTTCGGTGGGGCTGGGGCCAGATGGCTGCCGTTGGCATAGACGGATGGTATGTTGGCGTGGCCCGAGTGGAGGGAGAAGGACTGGCGCAAGTCACTGAAGTGGTTGAGCGACTCTGTGTTTCTGTGCACTTTGGGATTGTTGCTCCAGCAGCGGCTGTTATAGGTGTTGGAAGAGGTAAATGTGTTGCTCTCTGAGGAGGACACCTCGGTGTGAAATGCTTTGGCAGAAGAAGGACATTTAGGTGGAAGATCATCCTCTCTGAAAACGAACAAAAATAAAGCTGTTGTTAGGATTTACTTGAGGTTTACCCTACCTACCTGCCCAGGACTCTGTCTTCCCATGTTCAGGTGAATATGTCTGTGAAATTCAAACCCTCAGGACAGACCACACTATCATGAAAGCAAACACGGCAGTCCTGGTGGCCTCGGCTTTGATATTCATTCCCTTTAAGACAATGCTTAGGAAAAATTCTCCCTCAGCTTCTCAGTCCCCAAGAGTAACCAAGAAAGTAGTATCAAATCTCTCAAAAACTGTGTCTTCCAATATAACTGAAAAATATATGTGTGTGTGTGTCTATATATATATATATTTTTTTTTTTTTCCTCTAAATAGGAAAATAGTTCATGAAGAAATCCACCGAACTAGCTGCTGTGAAGCTAGGAAACCAAACTACGGGTGTAGGAACTTCAAAAAACTATTAGCATTGGCCTGATTTTATTGCCTTTTGGGGTTTGAGAAATCACTGTGGTATGCTGATGAGAGGTTTTTCTCATTAATCTTACACTGGGATGAAATCTGTCCCTGCATAGGGTCCAAACCCTTAAGAATTATAAGAGGCTAAGAGAAGTCATTAAGTTAATTTAAGATGTTAACTAATTCAATTACCATTTTCTGAGTACCAGGCATTTTACTAGATGTTTCACGTGAGAAAAAGACAGCTCCTCTACCCAAGAAGCCTATGGTCAAATGAGGGTGACAATCAATGCAGGAACATCTGCAAGTCTTAAAGGTTGGACAAGGGCCTAAGTCAACTTATGTGAGGAGGTGATGCCTGGACTAGACTTAAACCAGACCAAGGAATGTACTGAAGAGATGGATGCAAAGGGAAGGAGTATATGGTCCAGGAACAAGGTGGAGGCTACAGGAAAGGCCCTGAGGCATGAGACAAGACAACAGACTGGAACACAAAGTGATCAGGGAAGTTGTGAGAGATAAAAGCAGGGAAGCAGGTAAGGGTCAGATTCTGAAGGGCTATGTATGTCATGCTAAGTAGACTGGAGTCATTAAAGCATTTTCAATAAGGTTATTGATGCGATGCCATCTAAGACTGAGCCTGAACCCCCATATCTCCACAATACAGCAAGAGTCACCTTCCTTTCAAGATCATTTGACATTGTTTCCTTAAGATGTTCATATTCTTGACTGAACTGTTTTCAACCAAGCCATACTGCTTTGGTCTATCTGTACAGGTGCTGTTCTTTCTTGCTTTGTGTTTGCATCATTTATAAATGCCAATATTAAACACATGTTCTAAACTCACTTTTCTACTATGGCAGCCACCTAACCCCACCCACCCTGAAGCTATGGGAGGAAACGGGGGAATTCTTCACTTGTGTCCTCCTAGTTGGGCACATGCTAGACTACCCTACCCACCTCCCGCCTTTCATGATCCAGTAAATAAAGCTGAGGAGTAAGTACCATGAGGAAGAGTGATATAACATACAAGAAACTATCATTTGGCCACTTTAACTACCTTGGTTAAAGTCATAAGATTAGCAAAGAAATCTTAGCTGCCAAAATGAATAGAAATACAGACACTGGCTATGCCAATGTCAGGATAAATTATCTGACACACAAACCTTATTTCATTAGGAATTTCTTCTTCCTCCTCCGCTTTATTTTTGCTTCTCCAGTAAAAGAATGCCCCTAAAATTAGTGCAATGCAAAAAATGATAATAACTGCACCAGTGCCAATGGCTCCAGCTATTAGTCCAATGCTCCTGGGCTGGGCTGCAAAATATATTTAAGGTATATTTAAAGAAAAAAAAGGAGAGAGAAAGAGAAATAGAATATGCTCACACAACTTCATAAACATAAAAGGCTACCAAAGAATTTTCTTAAAATGTGCAAAATTGCCCACTGTATTGTATCCATTTAAAGTTAAACCTCACTTAATTTTCTGTATCCCCAGTGGCTAGGACTAACACACAACAGGCTCACAAACATTTACTGAATAAATGAGCAATTCGTTCAATAAACGAACAGCTGTAGGAGAGCCACAACCAGGTCAGAGCAGGAAAAAGACCGTACCTGACTACTTGCCTGACCTGCCCCAAATGAACCTGGCAAGCAGCAGGATAACTTGCTACCTCATCACAGCCAGATCATTCCCTTTTGCAGCTGGAATTCAAACAACCCAGAATTCTCAACTAAAGAGAAAATTTCTGCACTGCTTATGTATGACCTGGGCACCCAACATTTAAGCAGATATAAGGGATTAGGAAAAAACACAAGAAGGTCTTGCCATGACTGTAAGATCATAACAAATTTTTAATATGTCTATAGCACTATATAATCAAACTGATCTGATTCTAATGATCCTGGGAAGACATTTTATCATAAAGAAGAAGTCATATTGCTGAGGCTGAGAAGTATACTAACACATCTATTAAATATCTTCAGTAATGATTAAAATCAAAAGAATTTCTATTTAATCGTCAAACAACCTCTAAACAAGCAGAACTTTTCATTCCCTAGTTTAACAAAGATCTTGGCATTCAGACCCAGAGTGGACATCAGAATTTTATATACTTACGAGAAATAACCTGGAGATCCAAAAGACAGGTGCTGGTCCCAATGGCATTAGAAGCCACGCACTGGTACAAACCTGATGACAGGGTGCTGATGTTCCGGATGGTGACTGTTCCCTGGACCTGGTCTGTCACAAAAGTAACAGTCAAGTGAGGATTTAGGAAAGAAAATAAGAAAACCAAAGAAATCAGCAGAAGACTATAAAAAGAGATAAACAGTGAAGAGCTATCAATACCTTTTTTTGGAGAGATGTTTTTGGTTCATGAAGGTTAAAGACTAAAATAATAACATACGTTAAAGACCAGGAGCTATAGAGGCCTGTCCTAAATAAGGGCAGTCTTAGAACTTAATCTGCAGATTAGTGTGAGGTCCTAAAGGTGAGCAGCCTTCCCTGAGGAAATGTTGGCTAATGCCTATTTTAGAGAATTTATGATCAGAAACACCAAATTTTAATTCTGAGGAAATGCAATAACATACAAAGTTAAACTCATTATAATAATGTCTGCTTCATACTTGATGGAAAACATATCCTCTCTGTGCTCAAGGGTGTAGACTGCTACTCCCTTCCAACAACCACGATAACCATTTGTGTAAGTCCAGCTCCTCCAAGGAGTGGACACCAAGACAAGCAGGAGGTTTACTGGAGGAAATGGCAGTAAGGGAAATGGAGAGGAACCTGGAGGAAGCAAGGAGAGGCTCAGACTGCAGTACAGGTCTGGCCCCCGTGAAGGGGAGAGGGAAGGAAGGAGGCAGCGTCTCAGACTGCAACACAGCCTTATGGAAGTTTCCACCAGGCTGATGGGGAGTCCTTGAGCCAAGGTCACCTGTTAAAGGCATCTTAGACTTTGCAGGAATGGGCCTGCATTAGCAGCCCCACTGTGCCCAGTGACTGGCTGGGAGCTGCCCAGGCAAAGCACGGCCTGGGTGCGAAGCAGTGGTGGATGCTGCGGGAAGCCACTGGGGCTGTCAGTCAATTACGTTCCCACAGCAGGAGATCTGAGCCATGCATTTTCCAGGTGACCACACTGATATGACCAAGAAATATTGCAGTGGTTCACATTTTAGTAACTTATCAACATTAGGATAGTTGATTTATTCCTTACAAACAAAACACAAATGACTTACAGTGATAATAAAACCTAAGTTAATAGTTATTACTACGTGCCAAGCACTGGCTAAGCTTTTACACGTATGATCTCAATCTTTACACTAACTCTTAGCGGTATTGTTATCATCAATCCCATTGAACAGATAAGGAAACCGAGGCTTTACATGAGTGAAGATTACACAGCTGGGCAACAGGAAATGAACAGAGGGCTGTCCAACCTCTAAGCTCAGGCTGCACTGCGGTCTCCCTCAGGCAGTGCACAACTCTTCCAGCCACTCACCGCTCAAAAAGAGCAGCAAATCAGGAAAAGCCTCCTGGTGGCACACTGGTGGCACAAAGTCCACATACTCCTAGGGCAACACCTGGAGCTATCTCTACCCTGTGCTGACAACTTTTACATGAAACTAAGATTTAGTCACCTAGTTTCTTCTGGTAACCTTCATTTCTATTTAGATCAAAGGCAGAAGCAGAGTCATTTAACCAATAAATATTTATTGAGCACCTTTCTGTGTGCTGGGTAATTTTTGAGGATGGTTATATCATGATGAACAAGACACACACCCAGCCCTGTACCTTAAAGAGACAAGTAGGTGAGAAATCACAATAAGTGGGGTAAGCGCCATCACTAGAGGATACAGGGTGCTTAAGAGGGGCATCTAGTGAGGATGAGCAAATTCTGAAAGACCCCCAGGCAGCAACCGCCCTCAGGGTTATCTCCCTGCCTTCTAACATTATATAGTGGGTAATGTTAACAAATGACTCATCAAACACACACTGAAATTAACTTCAATATACAGGCCAGGGAAGGGAGGGTTGGGTTTTTTTTTTGCCTTTGTTTTTTAATGGGAGCATTTAAATGGTCGAACCCATACTACATGGATATCTTACTGACTTATACTTATGTCTTACTTGGACATTTGTACTGTACACACCCAAGTCAATATACTTGGTAGTTATTTGGTTCACACTTGTGTGTTATTTCCTTTTCCTTAAAAACAAACAACTCTCATGGCTACCAATGTATGAGGCTTTTCAGTGAATTCACTCAGATAATTGGGTCCGTCTGGAGGGAAACTGTTTTCTCCTCCTCCATGTTCTATCTGATTTCCCGTGCTCTCCTTAACCATCCCTCCTATGTGCTCCCCAGCACCCTGTAATCCCTAGTGCTGGAACTTACCCCATTATTATAATTTCTTGCCTACTTGTCTCATTAAGATAAGGGACTCTTGTCTGACTTGTTCTCACTGTATCATCATCCTCAGAAATTACCCAGCACACAGAAAGGTGCTCAATAAATAAATAAATGGGCTATCTTCTCAAGTGTCTATTGTGTACCACATACACTGCACTAAGAGCGTTACATGTCTCATTTAATCTTACAAACCTTAAGTTTTATATTCCCTACTTTTCAAAGATGAAAAAGCTCAGAGAAGCTATGCCATTGGTCCAAGATCACACAGTACACAAGTAGCAGCACAAAAAATCAGGTCTGTCATGTCCAAAGCTCATAACCACCATACACACACTTGACTTTCTTGTAAGGTATTTAAAACCACAATATTCTGTGGGATGCATCTGTAGGATATTTCCTAACCTTGCAATCAATGTCCCAATGCTATGAGTATTAAACTAAGCCATCTGTCTAACTCCACCTTCAATACGTTAGCAAATGTCATCATGCAAGAAAACCATAATCTCTGGGCAACTAACCCCACAATTTCACACACTGTGTTGTTGTTTTCCTAAATCCTGAAATTCTAGAAATTTGATCAGCTCACACCAAATCAGTGATTTTGTTGACACTTCCAGAGAGAGAATTTGGGAAATTTTTAACAGCTGATCTAAGCAGCATTCTGGCACGCAGAAAGAGGTAAACTGTAAAGATTCTAAAATAAAATAAAATGACAACTTCAAAGAAAAGGTGAAGTCACTGTTCTTTCCTCCTCAGTGAGGCTGACACACCACGTCGGAGTGAACTCAGAACGTAATCAGAGAATGGGACAGACACATGAGTAAGACAGGTCTAACCAGAAGCAGAAGAGGGCTGCTGAGGTAGTCAAGGCAACAACGCACCTCTGCAGCCAGCACCTGACTGCTCCCTGCCACGGGCACAGGGCCCTTTCTGAAATGAAATGGGCTCATTCCTCAATCTGTCACTTCACTTGGCCTGCTCTGGAGCAGAGTAATTTGTTGAAATGAAGTTAGAGAATAAATATTCTTTAGATCTTCTTTGTTTTAAAGAATAGGGGAAGTTCAACAGTGTGGAACTGCAGTTTGGAAAGCAACAAATTGCATCACACCCCAGTTCACAGCAATACTGTATCCCACACAAGCTGTGTACCTGGACCAGAAGCCCTACAGAATTTAGAGAGAAATAAATATAAGTGCACATTTCCACTTCCATCCTTTCTCCTTAGCTCCAGAACCACTTCTCTGCTGCCTAGTAGACGGTGCACTGGCTAAGAACATGTGTTCTAGACTCAGGCAGCCTGGGGCGGAACCTGCTCTACCACCTGCTAGCTAGGTGGTCATGAATGTGCTACCTCTTCTGCATCTATGTTTTTGATTCCTCGTGTGTGACATGGAACTGCCAACATGCTTCTACATCACAGGCTACTGTGAGGACTGAGTGAGATAATGCATAGTGCCTGGCAAGGCTTCCATGTTGGAATTCCCTCTTGGCATCACTTGGGAAATTTGTATCTTTTTCAGATTCATAAGAAAAATCAAGAAATTGGGAAAATGTTGAATGTCTCCAAATTCCAATAAATATTAATACTTAGGATTTGAGGTTGAGAGATCAGACTTCCAAAATCAAATTACTCTATATTTTATATGATTTATGCATTTTTATAATAATAATGCATGATCATAATAATAAACAGTGAGTCATCTCTTATATAAAAATTTCAGAAGTACTCTGTAGAAGAAAATAATGAATACATGGTTTATTGTTATTTGAACCAATATATTATAACATACTATATGTTTCAAAAATATGTAAAAAATTATCTCAACCAGATACAAACATTTGATGATAAAAAATAGTAAAAATGGGAACATTAACACAAAATAAATGCCAAAATAAAACCTATTTTAAAATTCAAAGATAATATCACAAATACTTAATTTTTTTTTTTTTTTTTTTTTTTGCGGTATGCAGGCCTCTCTCACTGTTGTGGCCTCTCCCGTTGCGGAGCCCAGGCTCCGGACGCGCAGGCTCAGAGGCCATGGCTCACGGGCCTAGCTGCTCCACGGCACGTGGGATCCTCCCGGACCGGGGCACGAACCCATGTCCCCTGCAATGGCAGGTGGACTCTCAACCACTGCGCCACCAGGGAAGCCCACAAATACTTAATATTTAAACTCTGTCATTCTAAAAGAAAATTTAAAAACACTATACAGCATTAAGTATCCAACAGTCTTGATCTTTGTTTCATGCCAAATTTTCCAGACATGGAAAGAAAATTTTATTTCCTTTCTGTGTTGATGTTGGTTGAATTAGGATGGAGATGGACAGAGGAGACAGAGAGAACCTGTCCCCATTAAGAGAACATCCTCAGCACCTCTGACGCACACGTGAAGACACACACTGCTTCATATTAGTTCATCTCCTTTATTTAACAGTGAAAATACTCTGCCTTTTTGCCCTGATTTTCATTTTGTCATTGAAATAGGTATTACTTTTGCCAATTCAGATTTTAAATCCATTTCTGATTTCATGTCAGTGTATTCTACAGCAACATTTCCATCTACTTCTCTTTGCATTTCTGCTATTATTTTCAAAGAACTGTAATCTACAGCAAATACTCAAACACTAGAAAACACCAGTGGACATTACTGGGCAATATTTGAATAATGCAAGATTTATATCTCCTTGGTATTAATAACACTGCATAGAATCACACATCAAAATACTAAGCTAAGGATTTATTTTACTTTTAAATCTGTTATTTATTGGAATACCACTCATGGCATTTGTATAAAATACAATGGCTCATCACTGGCAACAGACGGGT